AGAGAGAGAGAGAGACTGTATTTGGCACATGGCTTATTGCAGATGGAGAACTCCTGCTGAGGTTTTGTCACAGTGCCCCCTCACTGCAGATAATCAATAGGTCTGAAATACAAAACCTGATGAAACCCAGCCTCCATGAAAATTGTGCAGGGGGCTGGGGAGAGTGACTGGGTTGTAAGGTTTGGACACACACCCCCTTACCACGTCCAGAATCTGCACCATGTTCACACACACACACACACACGTTGACTTTGTGAGCCGTGCACTTGCATTACAGTGTTGGTTCATATGGCAGGTTTTACAGCATTTGAGATTGAGTATAAATTGTGATTTAAAGCTGCTGTAATATTTGTACAATCCCATATCTATGAGTGACTGTGATGTATGTCACTGCGGGCTTTGTAGAGTTGTTAATCAGAAATGCTGGCTCAACACTTAATTTGCCAGGTGCTCAGATTCTGGCCTGTAGCCATTTTTGGACCCCCACCTGGCCAACATACCCATGTGGGCCTCACAAGGGTGAATGATGAGCTGGCATAGGGGCCCATAAAATGTTGTCTGTTGGCTCCATAAAGAGCCCATGTTTGTTTTACCAATGTGGGCTGCACTTGGGGCCCACATCCGCAATCCTGCTAAGAACCCACATGGCCCCTTTTTTTTATTTTTTTATTCTTCATTAAATTAATTTTTATCATATACAATACGTAGACAAAAATAACAAGAAAACAAGGCTTTTCATTCAAAAGTCTATGATAGCATCAATTTAATTTATTTTGCTTTGGTATCAGTCCTGAGAGATCACATATGGTGGCGTATAATAGCACAGTCCTCATAGCTAGATATATTCATTCATTCATACACCAAAGAAAACATCCTTAAAACATAAAGAGAAGCCTGAAATGAAAAATGTTTTGACGATCTCCACAAAGTCTGACCAAAACCTGTGTTGGAGAACAATTCCAAAAACGCAGGTGCAAGATTTTCATCTGAATGTTTACAGAATAAGCAGTCAGACTCGATGTCCCGTTTTTATCTCTAAGGAAAGATTTTGCTGGATAAAATGAAGATTGAAGAATTAATTTAAATGTATCTTCCCTCTAGTTATAAAATACTTGAGAGGCAAGAACCATACTTTTCTCCAAGGCACATTCTCTGTTGTCAAAATGGGATTGTGATGATGTTCTTTTAATAATAAAGCCCTAATTGCTCTGTTATTATTTTGATATGTTTTTTTGTGTCCATTAAAGGAATAGGTCCACTCCGTCAGCCAGACAACCAGCGGAGACTTAGTGAGCTTTAGAGGTGCTAGTGGGCAGCGTTTTTTTTACCTTTGCACAGAGCCAGGCTAGCTGTTTCCCAGTTTCCAATCTTTATGCCAAGGTAAGATAAGCTAAGCTAACTGTCTCTTTGCTGTAGCCTTACATTTAAGGGACAGACTGAGTGGTATCTTCTCCTCTAACTCCAAGGTGGGATAAAAGATAAAAGGGGGGTCTTGGATGCGAGTACTATTTCGATTACTCATCTCCAGAATATGTTGTGATTATTGTTGTTTTGACTAAAAACAGGCTTTGTTTGCATCTCTGTTCCAACATCTCATGGTCAGCTTTGTCACAATGAAACATTTCTGGCCCTTCTTGCTCACTGAGCTTGTTAGGGGATTATCTTCACCTCTGTCACTGATACGGCTTAAATCCCCATGTTCCCTCAGTCGTCTTTGTCACTCTTTCAGCACAGCGGTTGCTGTTACTTTTGTCACCTCTGTTTCGGGGTTATGTCCCTTGAGGCAGGATTAGTGGTTAGAAAACTAACTTTAGGCTTAACCCCAGCTGGCTTTTTGGTCTCAATGCAGTGACTCACTTTTCACGCTGTACATATCACCATGGCAACTTAGGTTGCACACGTAACCTGCTGGCTGTCACATGCAAGTATGTAAAAGTCTGATCCCTCACAAGTCAATACTCTGAGAGGATGGCATCGCTTTGAACTTGGACACACAGATTTAAAAACTGTGTTTTTGAATAGATGTGCATTGATACTATAAGTGTTTGTAGAAGAACATTTGCTGAAACAATAAAAGGTATTCATTATTAATTATCAGCAAATCTTTGTTATTCCGTGGTTGAAGATTTTTTCACAGCTTTCCCATGAGTGATCATGGCAGTAGATTGCGCCGCACTGTTTCCTTTAATGCAGCCTTGGGAGAACATGAGGCTGCCTGTGTGAGCAGAAAATCTTTTCATAGCCTCAATGTGACCATTAAATATTGTTTCAATGAAAAGTACACCCACTGTGCCTGGATGATGGAGCAATGAGAAACATTAGATAATTCTGTCTATTCAAGTTGGGACCTTGGAGCAAGCTTTCATTTTGTGTGTGAGCTTTCTTAGCTCAGCACCAACAAAGTCTTCTGCATACTTCTCTTAGGCTTAATAGAAATGATAAGTATTTAGGCTTTACTATCTGCAGTCTACGTCCAGCGATGCTCTCTTGCCTTGGCAACAGAATCAGGGTTGCCCTTGACTGATACATTGCTCATTTTGTATTCATTGTAATAGTTGGTACTTTTTGAGAGTGCATCAATGTTAAAAATCAATTTCTTTCCTCTATTTCCCTTGTTTGCAATTTCAGTGCAATTCCTTGGGCACCAATGTTATTGAAAAGTATGATGTTTATTATTCACACATACTTAAAGAAAAACAATACCTGCCACTTGTGTGACTCAACAGTTGGGGCAAACTATTAAGCTATACAGTTCATGAAGTGGCCTACTAATACGCAGTGGTATTTTGGGGAATAGACCTGATTTTGAAGGATTTCTGGATAAGAAATTTAAACTAAGACTATGAAAAGAGATGATGGAGATAAACAGCCATAGCCAAGTGTCATCTGAAATGGTTGTATGAGGCGGTTGACTGTATATAGAGGTAAATAAGCAGATGCTTCAGGAGGTAAAACAGTCACGATGGTCTATTCTAGAGTTTATGAGCTCTGGGCACTTGTGCAGATTGTCTTAATGAGTTGGGTGATTAATGCTCGTGCTGCTGTCAGCGGAGGGACACAGCATTCAGTCGGGCAGCACTACAGCACATCGAGCCGTTTTGGTCCACATGACAAACTGACTGCACTGACTTTACTGAACTTCTTTTTGGGTAGTTTAGTTTGATTAAGGAGAAGTCCTTCCGGAAAGTTGAAAGTTTCTGGGGCAATGGGGGAGTCGGTGTGAAAATAGTAGGTCTAGTCACTGGTGGTATGCGTTGAGGCTAAAGAAAATAGATTGGAAACTTCTAAAGTTTGGTTGTTGGAAGTTGAACCTATTAGATTTGTCATTATGGGACAAATCAGTAGTTGATGATGGCTGTAGTTAATGATTTAACACCAGCTCAGCTGTCTGAAGCCACAGACTGCATCCTTTGTAAAGTGGGTAGAGTATGTCAGAAATTAGAATGACATGATGCCGCTTAGTAGTCGTAAATCATTTAGTTTAGGAAGACAACATTTGGCGTTCTTTGGGGTCCAACTAATTTTAATAAAGCAGGAAATGGGCAAAACGTGAGGCACATCTGTCGACTGCTGCAACAATTAACACAGGATCTTGAGTCGCGGCGCCGTTTTCTGGCAGAGCTCCTCGCTCATCTCCATGTTGAAATTTTCTGCTCCAATTTTTGAGTGAGGTTCCCTAATTAAATCATTAAAAAGCAGAGCATTTGCACAATATGCTCCACTGCCTTCATTACAAAGCACAATCACTTGTAATTTATTCACTTACAATGAGGCAGCGTCAGATATCATTCGTCCTCTGTAGCTGTGTTTGTGTGAACACAGAGAGGGTTCACTCTCTTCTTGGTTTGGTTTGTTATTCTTCCAGGCAGTGGAAAGGTGGACACGCGTGCCTTCACAGCTTTAAATTACTGAAAGATTGATGGATGACCGGAGGATAATGGAACTCTGGGACTACTTAGTGCTGAGTCCCAGAGGTTGGACACACTTTTAAGGCAGAATTATAGAAAGAATACACTGTAATATGTATTTGTGGACACAAGCAATACAAGGGGACAAGCAAATCAAGAAACCAAGAGTTTTTAATATTGGTTTAAATTATTCAGAACCTCTTTACTAAGGCAAGCTGTTGCAACATAATACTTGTGCTGCCTGAAGACAGTAGGCTATAATGCAGGTGCATGCCTGGTACTATATTGTATAGCTGAACACAGCATGTAAGAACTGCAATTCTTTTGTTCCCCCGGGCTTTGCATCCCCGACTACGTGCAGCATCGCGATGGGCAGGATTTATGAAGTGTGGCTGCTTCCACTTCATGCTCCAGCAGTCAGAATCCCTGCTTGCTTATGATGTGGTTGGAGGCCCACAGGACATGCCTCGCTCACCCCTCTCAGCCTGCAGCCTCAGTGCCACAACCGCATACCCGGTCTGT